AATTAGGATAATGGCAAACATTCCTGACAGAGAGTCATGTGTTCCACATTTTAAAGAATTCCAAATAATGACTCTTCCGTGTTTGTATGTATATTTTAGCTTAGTTAGTGTTAAGGAAAACTTAAATAGCTATAGTTTTAGAAGTGAATTTCACAAATATAATACTAGACGGAACTATTTACTTGATTGCATATCTATAAAACTAGAAAAATCAAAAAAAAGCCATTTGTTTATGAAAGTCAAGCTTTTTAACAAGCTGCCAAAAGAAGCCTGGACTGTGAACCTAAGCAGATTCAAAATAACTCTGTCAAAGTGGTTAAAAGAAAATGTTTTTTATTCTGTTAACGAATTTTTGGCCTGTGATATTAGTACATTAAGATTTTAACTTAATTAGATAGTGATTTTGTACTTGTAGCTGTTTTTTCAGTGTCTATATCTATATGTCTGTTTTGATTTATTATTTTCTATTTGTCCATATTGCACATTTGATGTCTTATAATACTGTATTTGACTTTGTCTATTGCCATGTGCTTAACGACAATAAAATTCTTGATTCTTGATTCTTGATACTACAAGTTTACTAGATTTTTAAACTTCTGCTGATGAAACTTCAGTAGGCCCTAACTTGAACTCCAATCTTTGAAGTTCCCGAAAACTGCACAGCGACTTTCAACTCTATTGACAATCATTCTTGCAATGTGCTTATCATCAATAGATTTAGCAATGTCCCTATGGACGGATAAGATGGCAAGATGGTTCAATCTCTTCTGCGTCATCGTGGAACGTTTGTCTTTGTACTTATCTTCAGTAACTGTTATTAGGCCTACTTATACTTTTCTTCTTGGGCCGAAAAAATAAACGTATACAGTACGGAATGCTTTATATCTTTACATTTTTTATATGAACCCCTGACCCTTGACCCCCTTGACCCTTCCTAACATTTCAGGGGGGTCAACTGACCCCCCTGACCCCCTGGTTCCGCCGACACTGACTATGTACATTTTTGTCATCATTGTCACATTAATAAGACAAATACTTTATTAGGTAGCTTTTACAATAATCCCGATTCAGAATGTTTACCAACAAAAACTAAACAAATAATATTCTAATACCATATGTTCTCAAACACATATGAATAACAACACAAAACCTTTTCTAGTCATCCTACAGTTACACAATTAATAATATTTTATCCTGGTAAACGTAATCTCACATCACAGTTTCACATGACAACAACACACTGACAGTTGAGGTTATATTACCGTGAAAATGGCGTAATACAGAGTTGGAAACCTTACAAACTAAAATTTTAATATTCTGTGAATCGAGGTACTACCTCTGTTTAGTGCTGCAGCCTACGGGAGAGTTAATGAACAATTTAAAAAAAAGTGTGTTGGATGGCCACCTATACTGGCCGGACGAGCTGACGAGGAAATTAGTAGTGGCCAGCAGTGCTGGCCGTACGACCTGTGAGGCACTGTGTCGTGTAAACATGACAAGCTGATATAGAACGTAGCTGAGTCCAGCAGGGCTGGCTATTCGAGTTGAGAGGCATTTTTCTAAAATGGCTATGAGACCGCAAAGGGTTAAATTTAGAATAGTCATGAATTATCTACATAGGTTCTGGTTTACTATTTTTTCTTAATTTATTTCCAGTTCAATTTATTTGAGGTTATGTTTAACAAACGTCAAACAAAGATATTTACCATTGCCGTCTGCCGAACGTAACAAGTTAGCCAAGAGCCAATCAAAATCAAGCATTATTCTTCTCTCCTGGTTTAACCCATGGATCGCCAGTTAAACCAGCCTCACCCGGAGGGTTAACTTAAACCTAGTTTAAACGGAGAAATTATTTTGGGGAAAGTGGATCTGTGGTTAAACTAGAATTTAAACCGCAATCAGAGTTAAACTTGATTTGGGGAAAGCGGCCCTTAACAACAGTAACATAACCACAAATAATTTCAAAACAAAAAGTAGGTGTTGAAACAATAATAATTGAAGCAACTACAAATTCATTTGGACGAAAATAGGCTTGGCTTAGGGCTAGCTAGCTTATATTGTAAAGTCCTAATTAAGTTAAGTTCTATTTATATTTTAATTTATTGTATTTATTAAGTTCTTTTTTTGTACATTTAATTAGTTAGGGAACTATTATTTGCAGTATTTGACCCTTAACTCAAATGGAAGTGTTAATAGACATTTCCGTAGAAATAATTCTTCTTGTTTTAAAAGAAAAATCAACTTGATAACATAACCTTAAACAGTGATGTTATTCTAGCTGCATTCACACTTTGCTGTCTGCTCTACCGAGTTGTAATGTAATGGCGGGACGTTGTAGGAAACACTAGCCCAAAGCCCACCGACGATACCTCATATTTAATACACGTACAGGATTGCCAACTGCTTGAATTGCCGTTTATCTTAAACTAAGCCAGTAAAATGTTGGAGAAACCAAACACAAATTTTAAACGGAGTTTAAAAATAAACTAGTTTATTATAAACAAAGTTTATCCCATTTTGGGGAAACCGGGCCTCAGTATGTTTTTTTATTCATGCTTTAATGGTGCTGTTTGCTGAAGAGAAGGGAGATTGGCAGTGGTTTGTAAAACCATAACATCAGCTGGATTTTTCTTTTCTTTTTTCTTGCTTTCAATCACCTGTTGTAATTGAAAATCCATATAAACTAGGGTGGTCTGCCGTTACACTTTAGACACATAAATGAGCAAGCATTATTTAAAGATTGTCAATGGCTAAAGCGATATCTTTTGAGGCCGAGTGAAATCCAATAAGTCTGGTTTTCTATAAGGAAACAGATGAGGAAATGCCATTGGAACATAGCCAACCCTAGTGAATTCGTTTACGGGTGCTGATGTTCCGGTCGGCCACATTAGTCTCTGAACGTGATCCCTTTGACGAGACTGCGCAATCATAGGCACCGATGTTTCTTCAACTTGGTCTTCTTCGATTTCATCAGGACTTTCTTGGTTTTCACGTACACACGGTACTCTCATGTGAACAAAATCATTGACTGGTAGTTGGTGTAGCGCTTCATCACTAATGGTTATGTCAAAATAGAATAGGTTATTTGCCTTCAGCCAAATAAGTGCTTGCTGTAGTTTTTCACGTCGAACTTCGAAATCGATATGGCCAAAATACGCCTTGACGTTGGACAATGATGACTTTTAAGTTTTCGGGCAGTGTAGATAAGACAGATGCTATTTCATTAATATCTTGCTCAACATTAATGATGTTACCTTTGTAGTGAAACTGGCCATCCTGACCATTTGCTTGTACTTTGTAAATGCGCATAGCGGGATGTACTCGTGCAATCGACATTTAATATAATATAATAGGTTACGTACCTTATTCCGTCTTCAGTCTTAACTTAGTCAATACTGGATGACTAGTTTCGGGAACAAAGTCCCATTATCAAATCCTTATTTAAAACATCAATTGAATATGGTCAAATATCCGACGTAAGTCAACACCACCATATTCAATTTTCAATTTTTTTTTTTTTCAATTTTTCAATTTTGACCATATTCAATTGATGTTTTAAATAAGGATTTGATAATGGGACTTTGTTCCCGAAACTAGTCATCCAGTATTGACTAAGTTAAGACTGAAGACGAAATAAGGTACGTAACCTATTATATTATATTCAATTATCAGTCTTGGTGGCAAAGATGTTTCAATCAACATTTGTTCTACAGTCGTCAGGTCAGTTAATTCGTTCAGGACACATCCATATTATTTAACGCCGTGAATTTAGTTGCATTTGAACGACAACGCGAACAAATCGGTGATTGGTTGGAAGCTGTTAGTTGTTGGCGATGACAGTTAGTGCAAGTGTAAAATTTTAGTGCATCTAATTCATGTTGGAATTGATTAGCTAACTGCCTATCATAATCAGCTTCTTCCACCACTGCTTCATCTGGTTCTTCTTGTTCACAACGCCACTCTCTTACAATATTATTAATTTCTTTGCAAGTTAAAGCAAACTGTTTTTATTTAATTAATCAACAATAAGTTTTGATTACATTGTAAATAATTTGTTTTTATAGATCTTTGTAATTTTATTGTATTACTTGTGGAGAAATAAAGATTTTTTTATTTATTTGCATTATTGGTGCGACGACCAATATTACGACGTGGCCTTTGAGGTATGCTCAAAACAAATATAGCAAAACTGTTACTTCCATTGAAAAACTGTTACATTCCAACTTTAACCAAGGATGAAAGTAAACATTGAAATGTAAACAAAACAGTTACAAACAATTAACATATGTTTATCTTATTTAAATTAAACGAGATAAACCCATATGTCATAAACCCAATATAATTTTTCTTTCAACTTACATTAAAATAACAAGCGAAATTGCGTGACCCGTAAAATAAAATCCACAAGGAAATTTGCAAATATTTTTTACCAAAACATTGAACTCAGTATTCTTTAGCTGTTGGCCAAATTTCATATCAATTGGTCAAGCCATTACATTCTGATGCTCTTACAAAGAAGTTACAAAGTGAGGGAAAGTGAGCTTCGCTCAATAGTACCGTAGTTGAATTTAAACCACAGCCACTCTCAGGTGTGCTATTCCCGTTATATGCTAATGTCACCCAGATTGCAAACACAATTTACCATTTAGACAAAATCATAAAAACAATAACAATCAAATCAAAACAAACATTTACTTATATGGCAATACAATCAGGTGATGTTTGTTTGCAATCTGAGTGACGTTAGCATATGACGGGAATAGCACATCTATGTATTTTCCTTCCACTATGTATTCCACCCTGTATAGGCATCGCTTTAAGAGGTTTTTCTCAGTGCAAAAAATGAATTAGGCCATTAGTACAGTGAGGACTGGAGATAAAATTGTTCTGAAAAGGAAACCGTGTTAAGCCTAATTGGCTAGTTACAAGTCACCTCTTTGATAACATTTTGGTCTTCAAAAGTATGTAAAATAGAATATTTTATTCTTTTAAAATCAAACCTCTTCTCTATGTGCGGGACCCACAAGTCCCAAAAAGAAACTGGTACCCAATGTGTAACATCCAAGAGAGATGATGTTTCCAGGGGCACGTCGACAAGCGTCAATGGTGCATAACAAAATCACGACAATCATGATTTGGATACTTATTACAGCCAAAGATCTGCAACACAACCCAATTGTACAACTGTTTAAAATACTTGACAAAATAACAGAGATTAGTAAAACAAAACTTTTTCAATAATTTGTCTTCTGTCAGTGTGAATATAATATTGTAAATAATTGTTAAAAGTGCGCTCTACCTGTCCACCGTGCGCTAATGCAAGGGTTTAGGACCTCCGTCATTGTCAGCTTGGTTCTTAACCGATTGAAAATATATTTATGTTAATTAATTAATTTCAAATGTTTGCAGGCTTGTATTGTTTTAATTTTTTAGTAATAGTAGAGTTTAAGGTAGGAAGTGACTGATAAATACTTTGAAATCAGTTTTTTTAAGTCAGAGTCAGAGTTAGTTAAAGCAAATGAAAGAAATGAGAGCCAAAAATGTGGATAACACTCGTATAATGGGCTCCATGTCCACGCAACGTTGTAATAGGTAATGAAACGGCTGCGACCAGCTGTATGAAGCCAAGAAAGTAGTTGGATCTAATTTTCTAGAAAATTTCAGTTTGAAAGAGGTTGTTTCACGTAAGGTTGTGATAAAAATCACTATCTCAATCAATGTTAATGTAGCGAGAAAAGTAGCTAGAATTCCGCTACAACTACTTAAAAAATGTAGCTAGCTACAGCTTAAGCTACAAAATCTTAAAAGTAGCGTAGCTACAGCTAACTCTACAAAAAAGTAGCACGCTACTGTAGCGTTGCTACTTGTAGCGCGCTACTTCCTAACACTGTATATACCCACAAAAAATGCTCATTTAAAATTTAATTAATTAATTTAGTATATCGTACCGCCGCACCGGTATCCATTGTCTAATTTATTAGAACATTTTTCAGTATTTAGGCTACTGCATTTTATAAACCAAACTAGAATCTTGATTCCTTTTAGCATGTCGTATAAAAACGACATTCTGTTTGGTATCTGGTGAACTTATCTGATCGCATTAGTGAATTTAGCATTAGCTGTTAATTATAATTTAAATGGGTCAACACGCTAATCTATAGGCCTAAAAGTTTATCTCGTCATCTCAAAAGTATTTAATTTTTAATTCTGGCTCCATAAAAATCAAAGCAACCATCAAACCATCACTAATTTGCAAACAAAAATGTAATAACAACTTATTCATTAGTTAATTTGGAATTAAGAATCACGTCTCGATTTCATAGTAAACATTCTCTAATGGCCAAATGATTTTATACAAGTAGACTGAGTTAAAAATATTTACGTTTAGCTATTGTCAATCCCAAGAATATACCATTTGTTTGTTGTGATTTTACCTAAAAATTTGACACTTATGAACACATGATCGCACTACAGCCAAAAAGGTTTATCTGTCACAGTCAGCCTCTCTTGTAGTCTTCGTAGCGGTTGGGAGCAGGAAGAACGAATATTAAAACAAGCGAGTAGGGATCAGCTAATTCATTAATGAAACTAATAAAGCTTTACATAATTGCATCGATTAAAGTAACACGTTACAAATCAAGTCAAACCGCGACCAAATACTACGAATTACACAATATTGAATTTAAAACGTACACAGACTTGGAAGTAAAGAGTAAGAGTAAAAGAAAGGGGCGCGAGACCGCGCGCGGCGGACTATACCGTCGTCCGTTAAATCTCGGCGCGATCTGGGGCTTCAACGTCACCCGAGCGGAAGCCTCAGAATGGTCACATGACCTTCGTTAACCAATCAGCGCACGCTGAGCGCTTAACCCATGATTCAATCGCCCGTCTGGTGCTGCAGCCAAACGATCATAACTGTCATTAATGAAACTAATTGAAGCGAGGAACCGAGTCTAGAAGTGTAGCATTGCTTATCGCGACACACGTGCATGCAAAGTCAGCACATTCCAGGGTACATCCGGCCAAGCCACGACGTCTGGTTAGGATGATTGTAGGGTTACAAAGTAATGAAATGAATTGGAGTATGAGTTTTAAGATTCACTTGGAGACTTATGTGAAGTTAAATAAAATTCAATATTGCTAAATACGGTTGACACATCAACCTAGCAAATATTCGGTGATAGCCAACGGGCCAGGTTTAGGGAGTAAGGCCAATCAGCTTAAGCTCAAAGTTAACAAATTACAACAAAATGAGGCAAATATGCCAGGCCGTCACACATCTCCAAAGATATTCCATTACACCATAATCGCTTCTAAAAAAATCCAACCGTACTCTGAATTTACATTTGATGTGTACCGGTACCAATATGACTGTCAATGCCTTCAGTTATCTGACTCCCTTTAGATGATGGATTATCGAACAATCACGAGCTATTTCCGTATTGTAAAACTAAACGCCATAGCAGTGACACTAAGACAAATCTTATTACTGCCTATGACTGTACTGCAAAAAAACGCGATACGCACCAGGCTTTAGGATCCTGTACTTTCTGATTGTTAATTCGTTCCTCTGTCGCTACACCACTGCTTGTGAGGACAATTTATAGTGATCATATTAGACTTTACTTTATAAGAAATAAATTTTGGTTGTATTATAACGACTAATTTTAGTTACTTCAAAACAATAAATACATTTTCATATCACACGAGATAGTTGTTTCTTGATACCTTCAGCCAATCAGACACCCTGTAATCTATTGATAAAACCTCTTTCTTTACAGATATGAACTCGTTTTGTTACATTAAATGTAAACTTACAAATTGTCCAAATTTTCAACAACAAGCTGCCTCATTGGTTCAACATACATGAAGATGGAGGCAAAACCAAAATAAATCAGAAACTGTAACGTCAGGATCCCGTAGACTTTCCTGTAAAAATCCACAACTGTTTTACTAGACTACTTTTATATTTTCACCAGCACAAATTTACACATTACGAGAAGAATAATATAACAAATAAAATTACAAATAACTCAAAAAAAGTAAAGGTCAAACAAATTATTTTCCCTACAGTCACCTGACAAAGCGGGCTTCCTTGCACTGATTATAGTATAGAAATTTGCTAATTGCTGCATTTACTTACATTTGCCGCACTCTTTTTCTTTTTGCACACACCAGTATTACAACCAAACAACACAAAACAACGTGCTTTTATTATGCAAGTAATCCGTGTACGCTTGGAAATAGGTTGGCAACACTTAAAGATACTAAGACTACAATCAGCTGTTGCAGTATTTCCCATTTCGATCAACACTTGGATTTAACCTAACCTAAAACGTGTTGTTTAGTGTTTAAAATATAAATTATTTCTATGCTTTATAATAACTGTAGGAAAATATAATGTATAGCACAAGTGCAAATTGCCTTTGCTGCATTCGAGAAACTTTCCACACTTGCCTAAGGCTGCTTGTGAGTAAACATTTCTCTCGTTTGCAGCAAAGTACCACTTCGCCCACTAGTTACACAACTATTTTAACTGGTATAAATTCAAAGGTAACAAAAATAAACTATGGTTGTAAAAAAACTAGCATAGTTGGGAAAGTTAGTCAAAACTTCTAACTAGTTAGAAGTTAGAAGTTAGTCCCATAAAAAGTAACTGATAGAAGTTACTAGTTAGTTAGTTTAAAAAGTAACTGATAGAAGTTATTAGTTAGTTGAAAAACTAACTGATAGAAAATCAAGTTAGTTTTCAACATTTGTAGAAGATAGCTGTTTGTTGGACGGTTGTTTTAAAGGATTTCATATGTAATGAAATAATGACACATCTTGGTTACTGTGGTTAAACATCGTCACATTTACATTACATGTAATGTAAAAACATTCATTACTACGACAAAATTTACTTTAAATGCCTATTAAACTTTAATAAAGGTAAGCCTGCTTATCCTATCCTTTCTCACACCTATTCTCAGGCAATTAGCCCTTTCTCTCCAAACCAAACTTTAAAAGAAGTTGTTTTTCAAAATTGGTGTTGCTGATTCTTCCTCGTCTGTTACTCTGTTATTCGTTAGAATTTCTATTCATTATTTCCCAAGAATGAAAACTAGGTACTATCCATCATTACAGATTTAAAAAATGTTTTCTAATACGAAGGGTTGATTTTATAACAAAATGTTAACAAGTTAGAACCCAACTAAGTTACCCCTAATAACCTTCTACCCTACCTGATAAATCTTTGTCGGATTGCTTTTTCAGAGAAGTCCAAGTTTTTGAATTCAACTTCTTCTCCATTATTTTCATATCCATTTTCAATGTCTTCAGTTCTTACTTCCATCATATTGCTAACCAAAATTCACACAGTTATCTAAAACCAAAAACAGATAGGACTACAATCTTTCTTTAATCAAGACTTGTAATCCTGAAATCTCTTACATTGTAAATAATAATTAATTCTCATTATTAACTTATGATGTTATGAATAATGTTATAAAATTCTTTGTTAGTAAATAACTGTGAAAAATCATAGCCTTCTCATTCTTTTATCCACAAACAACATATCACCCAGCAATCCTAGATCTCATGATCAAGAAGTGAATCAGACATAGGTGCGAGTCCTGAGAAACATTGTGGTTTATAGGTAGGTAGTCTAAAAACACCTATAGACATTAATCTAGCTCTATTAGCCCTTTCCCCGCCAGCTATTTTAATTAAATATATGTAAAAAATGCCAAGACCATTTTTTGTACAATGCAGTGTTGCAGAAAAATGGCTCTAGCTATTTTATTTGTTAAGGGATTTTTTTTTTTGTTTAGTTGTAAATGAAATTGTCTACAAAATGATACGAAAATATAACTGTAACAAAATATTTATGAAAAAAACTAAAAAGCAAAGAAATTTAATATGGTAAAAAAAAATTTTCACTTTGACTTACAATAACTACATTTCAAAAATTTATCTCTTAGAATTCAGTGTTATTTCCTGAAAGTACATGCAGTGTTAGTAGGGTGTACCTATTTTGTCTAAATTTCAAAGTATTACCTTGAAAAATAAAGCTGATGATGCAGATTTATATTTTTGTCCACAAAATCGTTGATTTTGATTGCATTCTACACTAAACAAATTCAATAAATCACTGCTCATTTCAACCAAAAGTTATATTTTTGAACAAAATACTTGAATAATAACTAAAAACACCTTTCTTACGAAAATACCACTAGGCCCTAAAACTAATATTTACAAACAAATTATTTTTTCCGAACACTTGTGTTGTGCGAAGCACACCGGGTGTACTCCTTTCTGGCAACGTACACAGACAGATCTTAATTTTTTCCTTTTCCCTCGCGTTGACAAACTAATTGGACTGCACACACAACAGCTCCTATCTTTTCTGTCAGGCAGAGTTTCCATACCAAATCTTTCAACTGGATGATCTCCTCCTGCAAGATGATTTGGTACATTTCTTCGCTCGAGCCATTCTTTTGACAATTCCTCTATAATCTGTACTGTGAACTGAAGTCCGTTGATATCTTTGCCTGTATTGTTTTCCTTAAATAAAAGGTTGGTATAAATTCAAAATCATTCTTCCAAATATATTGAAAACAACTTTTTTCCAATACTTTACTGTAGGTAGGTCTCTCACCTAAATAAACGTACAGCATTTGATCCGAGTGATCAATGCCACACATGTAAGAATTATAAAGGTCAATTATTTCTGGGTTTTCTTTGACAATTTATGTGTTATTTCTTACTTTTCCTTTTTGGATTGACTTAGCTACACATTTTGTAGATAAAAGAAAAACTGGGTTCTTCTGTGAAGCCTTCTCTCGATATCCAACATCAACTTATGATCTTTGCGCTGATACATTCTTTGACCAACCTCAAAAACTTTTCTTTCATGGCATCTGGAATTCTTTGTCTGTTTCTCCTTATTGTACCAGTTATGTAGGTCAATTTAATATACAAGTAATCAGCCAGTGGGATGGACATAAAAAAATATCAACAAACAGGGAAAATCCCTTGTTAAGGTACGGTCCGAGCTGTTAAAGTTGTATCACTACTTTGTAGGATAGGCCATGTTCAGGTTTCCCCATCTTCTGTTTTACCTTTAAACAACAAAAACCCGGACAATATTTACTGACACTGTCGCACAGCATCCACAACTTTATCCCCCACCTGTGGTGGTGCTTATTGGGTAGATAATGCGTCAGCTTGGATCGACTTTTGGTGCCGACGAGACTTTCATCCACCGACAGTTTCCTGTGAGGTATGTAATATGTTCTGAAGACCCAGTTAACATGATGAACCAAAGGTTCAAACTTTGCACAGGGATCATAATTCGGCTCTCCTGGTTTTGGTAGGTTTGTATTGTCAACCAAATGAGAAAATTGCAGCAAGCACTCGAAGCGATTTCTAAAAAACATCTTTCTAAACCATGTGGTAGCTAATAGATCATTGGTTGACCAGTAACTTTCAGAATATTATAGCTAAAAACCCTTTCAATTCGATCAATGTTACTGGTTTCCAGCTCCTAGCCTTAGCATTGGGAAAGAAAGAGGTTGTCGTGCGACCTTAGGTAGCGACGAACATACAAATTGATCATGTCAACAAATCGGGTCAAAAGATTTACGGTGAAATACAAGTAAAATTAGTCAGTAGGTTTACTATTAAGCCTAATATCTGGGCAATGTTTATTATCTCATCAAAAATAAAATTTTTGTCAGCTCTACGATCATTTCCTTCTTCAACCAGGTCCCAAATAATAGGTTCATTGTTAGGCCTAGGCCTTGCTTCAGTGACATTCGGGGCCCCTTCTGTAATCTCAAGAGGCATATCGTTTTCTAAAACAGGCCTATCATCAGGAACCTGAGTCGTTTGGGAGGCAAGACAGTAGGCCTACGTCGAGTTTAAGTGCTAGGTTGATCAATGTCATATTCCTCATCAGAAGTTGTATGTAGATCACTTGGAAAGTAGTCAGGATCTGCATCACTGTCGTCACCAAATAACTCTGGAAGATTATTCAGGAATTGAATAATCAAATTCTTCATTATATAATCATTGTCAGATAAAGCCGGGGGTTCAGGAGATGACGAATCAATTTCATTAACAAAACTGTGACTCAGTTCACCATAGTCCACACCAATTCCACTTGCCACCAAATTGTTGAAAATTGTATTTCCACTTACTGGTGACTTATTACGAGTTCTTTTACTCATTTTAGTGCAAACTGTGCTTGTGATATATATTAGTTATCAGCTGTTTGATATTGTGGACATTTTTACTTGTTTATCTTTGGATGATTTTTATTGACTGGAGTCTAAACCTTCGCTGTATACCTTCGTTGTATTATTGCGATGTTGTCCCCTGGTGCTGCGGAGTAGGGGGAAATGATTCTCCCTCCACCTCCCCTCTAGACGGCGTCCAAACAAGCCCGCGTTGTTTTACATGCATAGCCTATGCTGCAGTTTTTCAATAAGTTAAAATACCCCCGCCGCAGCAAACCTGCAGACTAAGCGAATTTCCATTTGCCTGATTGGATTTACACTAAAATGTCTCCTTAGAAATATCACATTTATTCCTTATTTAAATAACATTAGTTTTATAAGTACTTAGGTTTGCTGCAACAGGGTATGAAATGAATGCATTTTCCAAATTTGATCAAAATATGTTCATAAACAAGCAAACTACAACAGTTTACTTATTCTCCATAAGAATAATATGGGAATTTTTAATTTACAGTCTTTTGGAGTTTTCTCCGTAACTATTAGGCACATAACCGCGCATCAATATACCATCAATAATTATTTGTTTTTTTAAGCTCTACAAAAAAGTTTGGAAAGAAAATGCTAAACTTTAAGTTTTTAGGGTCAAAAATGGGAAATACCAATTTTTACCCCATAAAACCCCCCATAAACTCCTGTTCCCATAGTCCGATCATGCTGGTTCGCGAACTCGTTCGAAAAAACGTAGGTTTACACATTTGTACCAAATTTCATCAAAATCGGATGATTTTTGCTCGAGTTATCGCGCTAACGGACACATATATAAATATATATATATATATACTAGCTGACCCGGCGAACTTCGTATCGCCTAAGTTATAGGTTTCCCCTAAGACAGACCGATGGAAAGAAAGTACCGTTACGTTTAATTTTCAACATGATCTCGTTCGCATCGCTCAATCACCTCCTGGTTGAAGTTCGTTCGCTACGCTCACTCACCTTTAGGTTGGAGCTCGTTCGCTGCGCTCACTCACCTTTAGGTTGGAGCTCGTTCGCTGCGCTCACTTGCCTTCAGGTTAGCTCGTTCGCTACGCTCACTCGCCTCCAGGTTGAAGTTCGTTCGCTACGCTCACTCACCTTTTGGTTGCAAATTAGCTGTTGTCATAAATGTAAAAGAAATAATAGTGCTGCACCCTGTTGGTAATCCTTGTAACTTTAATGCTATTGAATATTATAGAACAGAACCAACTTGTTTAATTGAAACAGCTGTTAAGATTCATTAATTCCATTTCTCATAAGGTTAACATGGGAAACTCCAGAGCCACTGGGGCGGAGCCCTTTTAAGAATTTCGAAACGGGAAATAGTTTACGTCCGATTCGCATACCTACAGAATTTACACACCAAATTTCATAACGATCGGTGAAGTCGTTCCGGAGGAGTTTGCAGACAAACACTGTGACACGAGAATTTTATATATTAGATGAATTTGAACGAATTATGTTTTTGGCCTCTAGGGACCTCAAAACGAAAAAGTAAATCGGTCCCGGGTCCAGGTCTTACCATGAGTACTACGGTAGTAGCTTATTCCCTATAGGGAAATTCGCTAAAATGAATATTTATAAAATTAAACTGTCATAAACTAACCTAACCATCCAAACTTGCTGATTGTATGAAAAAAGAAATAAAATAAAAATCGAATGAAGGTTTACTAATTGAAAAAATAGTTCTGTTCATAAAATAAAATTATAAATGCCTCAAATTCAATTTTATAATTTATTAATTACTAGCTGTAACCCGCGGGCTTTGCCCCGGTTAACTTCTTAATTTTCAAGATTATCTCGTTCGCATGGCTCAATCACGTCCTGGTTGAAGTTTGTTCGCTACGCTCACTCACCTTTAGGTTGGAGCTCGTTCGCTACGCTCACTCACCTTTAGGTTGGAGCTCGTTCGCTGAGCTCACTTGCCTTCAGGTTAGCTCGTTCGCTACGGTATCTCGCCTCCAGGTTGAAGTTCGTTCGCTACGCTCACTCACCTTTTGGTTGCAAATTAGCTGTTGTCATAATTGTAAAATAAATAATAGTGCTGCACCCTGTTGGTAATCCTTGTAACTTTAATGCTATTGAACATCATAGAACAGAACCAACTTGTAATTGAAACAGCTGTTAAGATTCAATAATTCCATTTCTCATAAGGTTAACATGGGAAACTCCAGAGCCACTGGGGTGAAGCCCGAAAGGATTTTTGAAATAAGAATATGCCTATATGTTAATCGGGAATGTGAGCTATCATCATGCCAAATTTCAGCCCAATCCGACCAGTATTTTTCGCGTTCACTTGTCACAAACATACATCCATACATCCATACATCCATACATCCAAACTTTCTCATTTATAATATTAGTAGGATAAAATTAAACTGTCATAACCTAACCAAACTAACCAAACTTGCTGATAATGAAAAAATCGAACGAAGGTTTACTAATAGAAAAAAAAATAGTTCTAAAACTATAATAGCTCAAATTGAATTTTATAATGTTTTAATTATCAAATTTAACAGTCATAACCTAACCAAACTTGCTGATATGCAAAAATCTTAGACAAAAAGTAAGTGCCACCGAGAGGATTCGAACCTAGTACCTTTAGTTTCTCAGCCCGGCACGTTATCCATTAGTCAACCGAGGCCGATGGCTCCAAACCGTATCGTTGCGGTAATGGTGTTCCCTCAGCCAATAGAATGCTCTTCCCCAAAATTGTGCTTCCCCCACTCCGCAGTGCCAGGGGACAACATCGTGTTGATTTAGCAAAGGTTTAGACTCCAATATTTTTATTGATTCTTGTTGTCATAGAGAAAATAATATTTACTAGTGATTTTTTATTGTTCTGATGTGTAGTGAATGTTAGTTTGTTACAGCATTAAATATCTTTCATTATTTGTCTTCAATTTGCATGTTGAATTAATTACAAGCTATTTCGGCATTATGTCAGGTACTGGTGTTAAGTTCTCAGACTTGATTAAGCAGTATGATGGAAGTGGTGATTTTAGTGAGTGGTTAAAGAAACTAGAATTGGTATGTAAGCTCCAAAAGGTGAAAGACTTGCAGACAGTTCTCCCCTATTTTTGGCTGGAGAAGCATTTTCTGTATATGACGGGCTTACAGAAAATGTCAAGAGTAACTATGAGGCTCTCACCAATGCATTGCTGCAGGCCTTTTCTGTGAACTGTTTTCAGGCTTATGCAGAATTTACAGCTAGGCGTCTACTCCCCGGTGAGTCACTAGATGTATATGCTTCTGATTTGAAGAGACTGGCCAAATTTGTGGACCCTTTTGTATCTGATGAATGGATTAAGAGCGCAGTTGTACATGGCTTGCTAGAAGATACTCAAACCCAGTTAAAAGCTGCGTGTTCTCTTCAAAGCTTTGGGTAAAATTGAGACCAAGAGGGATGTGTACTCCTTGTGTGGCGTGATGCTAGCAGCTTGGCGATCGGTATTTGCATTGAAATTGATGGTGAAATAGTTGAGGATGCGTCTTGGCTAAGGAAAGAAGATAATTCAGCGCATATTAACTTAGCTGAGTTAGGGGCTTTGTTGAAAGGAGTGAATTTAGCTTTGAAATGGAATTTGAAGGAGTTATACTTGGTCACAGATTCAGCCACCGTTTATGCTTGGGTAACATCCATATTTACAGCAGACCGACGTATTAAAACACATGGGATGGGTGAAGCTCTTGTAAGAAGACGGTTGGGTTTGTTAAAAGACCTCATATCAGAATGTGGCCTTAAGGTGAGGATGGATCTGGTTAAATAGCAATTTAACAAAGCAGATCGCCTGGCAAGAGTTTCTAAAAAGTGGTTGGCAAGAAAGGAGGAAAAGACCAGTATTTCAATGATGGATGAAGAAGAGGATGGGGATAAACAAAAGTTGGACAAAAGAATCCATGGTCTGCATCACTTTGGTGTTAATCGGACTCTTTACACAGTCAGGCGTTGTTACCCGGACGTTGAGTTTAGCAAACAGGACATTGACTGCGTAGGTAGTGAAATCATGCAAAGAATGTTTATCTGTTGATCCATCCCCCATAAAATGGAAGCCGGAGCACTTGGATTGCGACAAGAATTGGCACAGGCTTGTGATTGATGTGACTCACTATGGGTCATATAAATTTATTACGATTATAGATTGTGGTCCGAGTCGGTTTTGCATTTGGCGACGGATCCCAAGTGAGACTAAAGAACAGGTAGTAAAAATCTTACTTGAACTGTTTTCAGAACGAGGTCCACCAAAGAACTATTAATGGACAATAGTGCAACATTCAGATGCGAACAAATTGAACAAATATGTGACAAATGGGGGGTTATCCGTCGTTTTAGGTGTGTAAACCGTCAGTCCGGCAATGGAATCGTTGAAAGAAACCATAGAACGATAAAGAGAATGGCAAAAAGAACCAGAAGAAGTGTTCAAGAAATGGTATATTGGTATAATCTAACACCAAAAGAAGATTTGTATGAAGAGTCGGCACTAAGCTCTAAATTGTTCTGCTACAGGTTGAGGTGTAAGGGCGAACCTGTAAATTGTGACGAGCAACTAAGAACTGAGTTTTCACCTGATGAACCTGTGTTTGTCAAGCCTAAAAACTTTCTATGTACTACGAGATGGAAGCCTGGTGTGGTCTCACGGCAGCTCTCACAAACCAGCGTAGAGGTTGATGGTATGCCACACCATATTGCTGATGTCCGTCGTGCTGGTGTTCGTGGGGTCCCAGTTTATCGACATCCCAAAAGATCGACACTGAAATAGTCCCACAATGTCGACAACTCAAAATGTCGACAGTGTCGGTAATATGGGATGTCTGTAAAGTGGGATGTCGGTTATGTGGGATGTCTGTTATGTGGGACGGTTGTGTAAATTTTCCCACTTTATCGACACGCAAAATGTCGACAAGCAAAACAGATCGACAGAGAGCGGGAGATTCAAATTGAAGGTGAACAGCTCTTGCTGAACAGATCGGTTGAGTATAATGAGAGTCGTTCTTTTTTTAACTCCGAACTACTTCTATTCACGGCGCTTGCAGTCTCCTTCAAATTTGTCAATGCTATATCAACTATCTTGTGTATATAATATGTGTTCTGCCGTTTGAAGGCTTTACAATAATTTTACATTTGTCACACTTGTATTATGATTCATTATACTGTTTTTTTTTTCGTGTGAGACGGTACCTAGTTAAAACTTGCTACCTAGGCCAAACTTAGCTTGAGGATGAATATGGTATCCATCCAAAATGTTTTCAATCATAAATTTATTTGAAATATACAGGTGTTCATTTGAAAACTTTCCATATCTGTTGTGTGCAAAGGTAAGGCGTTTAACACTTGTTTGTTCTCATTTCCCCCTAATTTGGACATGCAAAATCCAATAAAATAATTTTTAATTTTGAAAAATGCCCCAAAAGGGCCCAAATTGGGGGGTAGGGGTGCTTTTTGAGAAATTTTCAAATTTAAACATGGGTTGTGTGATACATCAATTTAAAGGTCTAATCACCCCGATCATTTTTGTGCAAAAAAATTTAATTATCTTTAACCGTATTTACAGGGTGGATCAAATCGTTTTACAAAAGGACTTTGAGGTTAACTACCATAATACCCTAACTACTGAACGGAACAGCGCCAAATTTCTTTCCAAGCTTATTCATGAGCTACTCTAAGGGCATTTTCCATGTTATTTTCTAATTATAAAAAAATCTCGAATTTGAAGAATAAAAGAAAGCTGAAAACTCAAAACTGTTAAATAGCAAGCTAGGCCTATAACAAATCTTCTATAATATATAAAATCCAATGTATATTTGTTTGTATGTATGTATGTTTGTTTGTCCTTTATGGACTCCAAAACCGATCGACAGATTGTAATGAAACGATTGTAATAAAGTTATTACTAAGCATTATTCAAGGATGGTTTGTGTGAAGTTTGGTGCAGATCCGTCAAAAGGGCTCCGCCCCAGTGGCTCTGGAGTTTCCCATGTTAACCTTATGAGTACTCATATTTAAATGGAATTAAAGATTCTTAACAGCTGGATTGATCCAATTTTTGGCAAGACTTGTTGATGAACAGGTGCTTGCTTCCTGACATTGTTTTGATAAATGTTTTACTTATTGTTCTCATATTTGTTTGACCAGATTGTAAAATAAATTCTGATAAAAAAATGTAACTGAAGGCAAGTGAGCGCAGCGAACGAGCTCATCTTGAAAATGAACGAGCATTTGACATAAAACCACATTAGGACAGGACGACGTCTGTCGGGCCAGGTAGTTAAATACAGGGTGTTCATTTGAAAACTTTCCATATCTGTTGTGTGCAAAGGTAAGGCTTTTAACACTTGTTTGTTCTCATTTCCCCCTAATTTGGACATGCCAAATCCAATAAAATTATTTTCAATTTTGAAAAATGCCCCAAAAGGGCCCAATTTGGGGGGTAGGGGTGCTTTTTGAGAAATTTTCAAATGTAAACATGGGTTGTGTGATACATCAATTTAAAGGTCTAATCACCCCGATCATTTTGGTGCAAAAAAAGTTTAATTATCTTTAACCGTATTTACAGGGTGGGTCAAAACGTTTTAAAAAAGGACTTTGAAAGTTAAGTACCGTATTACCCTAACTACTGAACGGAACAGCGCCAAATTTCTTTCCAAGCTTATTCTTGAGCTACTCTTTAAGATAACTTGTAGTAAGGGCATTTTCCAAGTTATTTTCTAATTTTTAAAAAATCTCAAATTTTAAGAATAAAAGAAAGCTGAAAACTCAAAATTCTTAAATAGCAAGGTATAACAAATTTCATACCACGTGAAAGGTCCTTTTTTAACAAACATTTTACGTATTTAAGTTTTCTTTCTATCTCTTACCGTTTAAAAATTGCAGTAGAAAAACATAATTTTCTGTGGTAAAATTGTAACTAGTTTTCTAATAAAACAGCCAAAATTCGTCTCTAGACACATTAAATGGTGCAATAACTGAAGGAAACAATTCATAATTATTTTTAGGCAGATAGGCAAACAAGTCATTACGTTTTACTTTGTGAGAAACAAGTTTTATAGCTGATGAGAAAAACCCAAGCGTGGGCCGCTTTCTGTAGTACCATTGACTAATTTCAAAAGTACCATTTCCTGTAGTACCTAATCAAATATGGTGTAAACTTAAAAAAATATACTTTATTTTACTTATTGGTCATAACAAAAGTGTTCCAGGATAACTGCAAAGTGTTTAACAATAGACATCCAGGTATAACCTTGAGTCATATGGCTGTAAATGATTTAGTTAGAAAGTTTTCTGAAACTGGCTCAGTTACCAATGAGAAAAGAACAGGATGAAGGGTCCAAGATGAATTCTGACACACGTAAAAGTAGTCGATCAATTTGTTATGAATCCTACTACATCGTTGAACAAAGTGCAATGTGTTTTATTAGAAAACTAGTTATAATTTTACCATGGAAAATTATGTTTTCCACTGCAATTTTTAAACGGTAAGAGATAGAAAGAAAACTTAAATACGTAAAATGTTTGTTAAAAAAGGACCTTTCACGTGGTATGAAATTTGTTATACCTTGCTATTTAAGAATTTTGAGTTTTCAGCTTTCTTTTATTCTTAAAATTTGAGATTTTTTAAAAATTAGAAAATAACTTGGAAAATGCCCTTACTACAAGTTATCTTAAAGAGTAGCTCAAGAATAAGCTTGGAAAGAAATTTGGCGCTGTTCCGTTCAGTAGTTAGGGTAATACGGTACTTAACTTTCAAAGTCCTTTTTTAAAACGTTTTGACCCACCCT